ATACTGCGATTTATGCAACTCTGCACCCTCTGTATCCGCTGTTGACAGCTTCATCCAATCGGGAGCTTGAACGTCACCCGTAGTGACGACTCTACAGTGACGTTCAAGCTTCCGATTGGATGAAACTGTCAACAGCTGATATCTGCCAGGGTCACAGTTGCGAAAATCGGAGTAGAGAGGGATAAGCGAAGGTAGAGGAGAGAGCGCTGGCAGAAGCAAACTTTCTAATGAAGACCTGGCACGATCCCGCTTTAATTCGCACTTCGATCTACCAGAGCCAATAAGAAGAGTGAGAAGCGAGGGTACTTCCAGTACTAGCGGCATGCACGGTGGGGAGAATGGCGTAAGCCGACAGTCTCCTTGGTAGCGGAATCGTCCCTTCCATTTGCAAGCTGATATACCAGAGCCAATAAGTAAATTGAGATGCAGGAAAACCTGCAATGCGAGAAGCATGGCGAGAAGCGTGCCGTGGTGCAAGCAGACACTCTAAGGAGGACAATCCCTGTAAATAGCTAATTCGCACACTGATTTACGGGAACCAACATACAAAAGAGTGAGGTCGATTCACCAGATCCAATAAGCAAAGAGAGACAATCACGTGGGCGTGAGTACCAACAGCACGACGTGTGAGTATGAAAGTGATGCAAATCCCGAAGGAAATAAATTCTAACCTCATCCGCTTAACATAGTTCCAACAAATAGAGACAGTGGAGCACAAGTGCTAGGGATGGACACCTACCTGCAGGACGAGGTGTGTGTATGATAGTTTGCCGTGGTACAAATCCCGAAGGCAATAAATCCAAACATCAGCCCATCAACATGGTTCCAACACATAGACACAGAAGAGCATAAGTGCTTGGGGTGGATACTTACATGCAGCACAAGGTGTGTGTATGATAGTTTGCCGTGGTGCAAATCCCGAAGGTAATAAATCCTAACATCAGCCCATGAACATAGTTCCAAGAAATGAGAGACAGAAGAGCGCCAGTGCGTGTGGTGGATACCTACCTGCAGCACGAGGTGCGTATCGGGCCGCGGGCCGTGCGCCAGGCAGCGCGCGGCGAAGGGCGTGGGGCGCGGGGCGCGGGGGGCGGCCGCCCGCAGCAGCGCCTCCATGGCCGGCACCACGTGCCGCATCACGTGCGCCTCCGTGCGGAAGAAGCCCTGCGCCTCCACCAGGCGGCGGAAGGCGTCGCCGGGCGGCAGGCACTTGACCAGCACGCAGCGCGGCCCGCCCGCGCCAACGCCCACACCCGCACCCACGCCCCCGCGCACCCGCGCGCGCACGCGGAACAGCTGGCTGCAGTAGTTGTCGCCCTCCGCCGTCGCGTACCGCACCTGCACACGCGCGCACGCACACGCGTTAGTATTACATCGGCGCTCTATCTCTATTTTCATTTCTTTATGTAGAAATATAAATAAATACTGTAAATTATTATTTCGCAATTGATCAATTGATAGTAATAAAGAACTCGTGACACTTCCCAACATTTTTATTTTCTCCCAACAGATTAGAGAGAAAGATAGGTAATGCTGTGCAAATAAACTCGCATTACAGGACCCTGGTAACGAAAAAGTCGAGATCCAATTGCTTAATTAGAAAAAGTCATCTGCAACAATAATCCATGTTTTGTGGGTCCTTGTTACCGAATAATCGCATGACGACAATACGCCTGTTTGTCCGTCTGTGAACAACGGTAGCGGCTAAACCGTTAAGTCGATTTTCTCCAAAATTCGTATTTCTCAATCGATCTGGCTGGTCATGGCCCTTTGAATTTGAAACTGATATTTCAATTCTGGGGAGTACTTTACATGAAACCTCTGGGGCATTTTCCAAATTTTCAAAAAAATAGACCATCGTTTTTTATTAAATGTTGTTATTGGGTAGTGTGAAAGACGTTTAAGAGAATGGTGGATGCCTTATATTAGTTGAAAACCCTAATTTTCGAATGTTGCAAAAGTTCAAAATTGTTTCGAAGCATTCCTACAACTAAAATTTTTTCTTTAATAAAATATGTTCGTTAAAGACATATTTTGAAATAAGGTCATGTACAATTTCTCAAAAATTTGAGTACTTTTCCGTTAGTTGGCGTGAAAATATAGGTGAGAAGCTAGAAAGTGTTTTAGCACCACTAGTTTATTCAGAAAAACGGGAGAAACATTTCATAGTTACATACTTGGTATGTTTGGCGAAGAATACGTAAGAAAACTTTTTTGAGGACACGAAAGTCATGTTGGATTAACTGCTAGTATATATTAGCGTAACAACACAGTCTTGCTCTCGTCACAGACTGGGGATCACGCAAATTCAATTGGAAATTTTCTTTAGTTAATAAACCAGTGGTGCAACAACACATACCTTCTTGAACTATTTCTAACTTTTGCAATGTCCGAAAATTCAGAGTGTTCTACAAAAATGTGACCTGCGCTATTTTTAGTGTCATCTGGTCGTCTTTAGAAAAATGTAATTAAAGAAATTGCATTAACTTGAAGCAAAAATTAAGAAAAAAAACTACTATTTTTATGCATGCACAACATCTTAATAAAAGGTGTAACATGTTTTTGCAATTTTTGAAAATACAGACAAAATTCAGGTCAAATGGCACCAGCAACAATTTCTTTGTTGTTTCTTACATATGAGAAAAAATTAGGAAAATTTATACTTTTTTGGATAGAAAATTTTAAGAAAGATATCGGTTTTAAACCAGCAGGGCCTCCAGCCTCGAACTGTTAAGGCGTTAACGTTAACCACAAACGGACAGATAGACGTTTTATTGTCATTCAATTTTTTGATATGAAGAACCCACAAAATGTAGATTCTGACTACAAAATTTGTTAGAGAAAGTAACTAACTACTTACAAATAGGAACAATATTGGTCAAGCATTTCGTAACAAGAGCCCAACAAAACGAATTTTTCTGTCGAAAAATCGTCGATTTTCGCGCAGAATTACAATATATACTCGTCACTATGTAAGTATGTAATAAGACAAGAAAGTAAAAATGATTCTGCACATAACCGTTGCATCCGCAGCTGATTTTGTTTATTAGCATCCATACCTCAATGTGTTCGACGAACGGCTCGGTCTCACAGTTAGCGCTTCGCTGGGTCAGAACTCTTTGTACGAAGGCGACGTCCAGCCACTCCGGAGGGGGGGTTCTGCCCTGCCATACATCGTCCACCGTCACAACTCCGTTGTCGCGGAGTTCTTCCTGGGCGGGGGCCATCTAAGCTGATTGGTACGGTGACAGAACGCTGCTCGCAGAATGCTCTGCATGGAACTGCATCGGCTTTTTATATCGCGAGTCTCGCCAATATTTCACTTTATCATACATATTATGATTCTTAATCTTATCAATCCGTATTCGCTCAAAAGTCAATGAACTTCGCCTCTCAATCAAAACAAGCGGTACCTCTGCTCCTGACTTATCTTTACCTCGATCGACCTACATTAGAAATTCATTAACGTGCTGTCTTTCGAGAGCCCACGTGCATTCTCTAACGAATTTGTGCCAAGGATTTTGAGGATGAGAATTAAATGTATGACATATGACATAATCGTGCGATGATCAAACAGGTTCTTGGTGTCGTACGAATTCTTGTGCGCGCTGTTTAACAATTTCTATATTACGAGTTGGGTGTCGATTTGTATTCTGTTTATGTAAATTCCTCACGTGCTATCTTTCACATTTCTTCACGTGTACGCATACTAGACATTTCCCCTGCGTGCAAAAAACCTCAGCGTAGTGTCTTACAAAGTATCTCTCGTGCGGGCTTAACAAATTGTGACCGTGATACCTCAGGAAATCCTTCCCACGTTCTTAGGAAATCCCTCGCGGGCTTTTTTACGGAATGATTCGCGTGCTGTCTAACAGAATCCTTCGCGTACTGTCTAATGGAATAATTCGCGTGCTAGCTCTATAAAATCCTTCGCGTGCTGTCTTACGAAATCCTTCGTATGCTGCCTTACGAAAACCGGCATATGCTGTCTAACAAAATCCATCGTGTGATGTCTTAACGTCCCCCCGTACTAACGAAATCCCTCGCGTGCTGCCTTTTAAACCCTCGCGTGCTGTCTTACAAACCTCCATCTGCTGTCTTGAGGGTCTCTAGCAGATAAACAATAAGTTACGACAGTCTGTTGCCTCTCTCCCTGTCTTGCGCAATCGATGATTTTTATCGGTTTACTATATTTCGAGGCATTAATTGCAGCAAACAGCTTACACCTCTGAAGAAATGTATTTCAGACGGACGGACGTATGATGGAAGATAGGAAACCTTAGTATATACTAACAAACTTCTTGAAATTTTCTTTCGAATACATCCTGGCGCTGACTGATGCCTAGTAACTCATATTGAATTTGAATATTATCCGAAGTACTCTCGTTATATTAACTTTAATAATTTATGAAGACTCTCGTACTTTGTAAAGTAAAAAAATCACTTATTGAGGAATAGTAGAAATATTGAGGAATATTCAAGACATAATTGATTTTGAATTAGAAGTAATGATACTGCTGAATAATGGATGAATAAAAACGTTTTTTTCCTGTTGTACTTGGATGTGTTGAGGACAATTATCATTACAATTCCATACATGTTCAAACCTCTGGTACATTTTAATCTCAAAAAAACTTACGCATTAAAAACCACATTTAGAAGGAAATGAAACTCTGTGAAGCAATTGACTGATCACTTTACTCTTAAATGGTACCGCCTAAACACAGAACAACATCGTACAAGTTACTTTACTTCATCAAATTTTATCTTCGACTATCATATATTCCTATTTTGTTAGAAAATGTAACTGAACTATGTTTAAAACGAGCCTAATACAAAAAGCAATTTTAACAGTAAATACAATAATTTATTACTCTCATTTTTTAAAACAATGCTTCTAAGTCGAAGGGCGAATGTCAACTTTCTTACCGAGTTAACAAAACAAACACCCACTGTTTCTCACGCAAGTACATCTGATGACCTACAGTCTACATTGCCGCAAGCAGAAGAATACAATAGGAAAGCTCGCAAAATAGCCACGAATGAAATATTCGCGTTTTATGTAAGTCGCGACCTCATCGCGAGGCCAACCATTTTCGATTCACTGTCAATCTGCACCGCATTGCAGCACATTCATGCATTTCTAAAGACCGCTTTGTCCGTCGGATGTCAAAACGGTGGCATTCGGCTAATAACAGAAATAACCCGCCAGCAGCGTCCCTTTTCCCATGGCTGACAACGGTTCAGCAATGATGGAGTGCGGCAGCGACCTGGTGTTCACCGTCCCTCCCTCTGGCAAAGTCGTGCCCGCCTCCCCGGGCCCCCTGCTGTCCCCCAGAGACCCCCCGGCGTCTCCCCGGCCGCTCCTCCTCCGCCTGCCCCCCGCCCGTGTATCGTGTAGCTTCGGAAGTCGTTCATCACCCGACTGTCAGCTGTTTGCGATTGATTCCCTCCCCACCCTTTCCGGCCCGCCCCCTTCGCCGCCGCCCTGCGCCCGCATTCTTGACAATCCACCGCTTTTTGCATGGAGTAATTATACTCATCACTCATAATACGTCTCCTAGTTCCCCTCCCCTTTCGCGCAGGTGGCGAATATCAATTTCAATTTAAAACACGCACTCGACGATATTTTGATACCGCGGCGCAGACGTGTAATAGAAGCTGCCCTAGAAGGTTGCATTGTCTAGAGCACAGTAATTTAGAAAAATGAAGTAAAACATTCCGTTGAAAAAGAGTTGATGCTTCTCATTTTAAAACACAATAACTCACAAAATACGGAAGGCATGTCTAGTAAAGAAGCCGATCTATTCTTAATAAGAAGCAGAGTGATTTTAATCAATTCTACATTATATTTATCAAACTAATTTTCGATTAATTTTATTTTTGTTGTGATTATCGATCGGCACCTGACTTTAAAAAAGTTAGACTAATTTACAGTAATTAAAAAAATATTTACTTTTTAAAAACACTATATTATATCACACTCATTTATATAGAAATATTCAATAATAAGGAAACAATATCACAGTTATCACAAGTTTTGGATGTAAAGTTATAAATAATTAATATTTTTATATTTTGTAAACAAGCACGCTGAACTTGGATGCCAAGTTGAATGACTTTTGCAGCATTACTTTGGTTCCTCTAAGAGGTTGCACATCTCTGCTTTAATGTAAGTCCATAACCTTACATTTTAAACAAAACAATCGTTTAAACGTAAAATAAAAATAACAAGTCGCACCGGAATTTTCCACAACAACCGCCAGTTCCCCCTTGTTTACAGTGCAATTCTCGAAAACACTGGGTTTCTCGATTTTGCAGCCGGGCAGGCGACGCGTGAGAATAAACTCGTCCGAAACTCAATAGTGGTAATCAGGGCTTGATTCCTGGCGGAACGAGATGGAACGACGTTCCAGTACCTGGGGAACCAAAAAAAAGAAGAAAAATAAAAATTTAAAAAGGCAGAGGAAAAATACTTGTTAACTTCGATTTTTAGTTCCACCAACTTTCATTAACCCAAAATCAATGTTCCACTGTATCATTTCTAAGAATTTAATAACATTATAAGTAAAAACAATAAAATATAATTATATACCATATTTTTTATCCCCTTTTTCGACCCGAATAGACCATTCTAGGATCATGCGAACGCAGCACTTGTACCCACCAAGGTCCAGCATATTCTCCCTGGGGCAATTACACGTGACTTTTGTGGTGGTTGTGGTTGAGGGGGGGTCAGCACTGTTTTGCCGAATACATTTTTACACCCCATTGTTAGCCCTTTGGGGGACGAAGTATGAGATGATCATGATGATGATGGGTGAAGGGGCAAACACACACAATCATACATGAGGCGGGACTCGAATCAAACCCACAATCACCACGATAATACCGCCTTAGCGATCTCGGCTATCCGAATCGGCTTATATTCTCTATTATTATTGTCATTATTAATATATTCAGTTTGAGTCAGTGCTACCACTGTTACTTAATTGTAATTAAGCATGATTTATAACTACTAAATTATATAATAATAATAATCCAAAATATAATCATAGATCACTATATATAATCACTAATAACATCAGTGATAAAAATTATAGTGATAATCATAATACTACCATAATAATAATCAATAATAATAATAATAATAATCAATAATAATCAATCGACTAACATAAATAATAATAATGTAATACTTCTATTAGATATATTTGGGTTCAAAGCAATTTTAAAACTGTGTGTATTTGTATATGAAGCTCTAGTAGTAATAACCACATGCGTCGCGTGCGTCGTGAGTACTGTTACGCGCGGTGTGTTTGCGGCGCCGGACGCGTGATTAGGTGGCGTGATGGGGAGGGGCGCGGGAGGCTTCGGAGCGTTACGTTGCGTGACCGCATGCAGCGCAGCGCCCGCCGCTGCCCTTGGACCGCGACGCGCGCTGGCGGCCGCACAAACAGCCAATCAGCGCCCGGAGAGGGGAAGCGGGTGAGAGATGCAACGCCCTGCTCTCCGCTGGCCGGCGGAGATTTGCAGGGTGCAAAGTAATGCGAGGGAGAAGTCGTTCGGCACAGCCAACATGCTACCTATAGATTGTAGCGAACTTCTTTGTGTGCTTGACGTTTGGGAGTCACTTGATGAAGCCAACAATGGTTTCCTAGTGACACGTAAGTGCAACATGTTTACTAGTGACGCAAATTACACTTTAAAAAATTGGACGCAACGCGACCCTAAATCCGTTTGGCATTGAGCGCCTGAAGTAATACTTTTTTTGCCAGTCGCGTCATGTCGCAGTCTGCTAGTTCCTTTTATCTCGTCGGCCTGGAGCTCGGCGACGTACGTAGCTGGGGTTCCCAGGCATTCGCCCGCCTTGGAATCCCCGGAGACTCGAATTTCGTAACTTCCGTGACTTTACGGAACCTCATAAAGCAATTCGGATATCGGCGACGGCACCGATTTGGAATGAATAAATGAAGGGAATAGAGCGTCCTAGCGGCTAACCCCTTTGCCATCCATTTTGATGCCCAATATCAAAATGGTCACCATAATAAAAGTATCCAGACAGTGTAGGTATCGGAGTAAAAACTCTCAAGACTACAGGACAGAAATTTATTTCTAAGCAGATCTTGCTTTAGATTGCCGGCGAAAGATGACGCAACACGCAAGTGTCAAAAGCAAAGAAGTCGATCCGGTTGGCCGAGAACTTTAAGGCAATAGTGCTGTAGCGATCTAGGACCAAAGGATCTCAAGTTTGAGTCTCACCTCGGGCTTGGTTGTATTTGAGTTTGTCTTTTCACCCGCTTATCATCACCATATCATGTCATTTTCACAGTAACCATTACGTTAATCACAATAGTGGTCGCTAATGGCCTAGATGTTGATGCAACCTTAAATAATA